TTTTCAACCAGATCGAGGAAAAATTATTACGCATTAGATAAAAAATTACAAACTCATCGTGATATTCAAATATCAAAATGAGATAAACTTATTATTCTCAGAGCATTCAACAGAAGCTTTCTACATATAAGGAATCAGGGCTTAAGCTTCTAAGGATAACTTTTATTTTATATATTTATTTTTATTTACTAACGTATAATTTTCTTGCTTTGGTTGTACGAGTATGTATGTATGTACAAGGTAAACTGTTTAGGTGTTTTAGTGATTAGCATACTCGGCTGCAGATCCAGAGCTCTTAGGTTCTATTCCAAATTCGGGTCGGGCCAAATTTGTTTATTGAATTTTTCTTTTATGATATTCTCAGTAACACTCTGGAGTTGTTATGTTGGCGGAGTTTCGCCCCTGTGCCTCAAAAAGCACATAACAGTCGATCCTGCGCCCAATTTGCTACCTGTCGTGTTGAATCGTCGTCCCATCGGAGTTTGAGAGTGACATGATTAGAGAGTTCACTTGTGTTTGCGTTATAATATCTCTTATGGAGATAGCTAATCTCAGTGGATTTGGCCGTCGTAAATCAGTCAGGAGTAAAAGGTAACTGATGGTAGGTAGGTCTTTCAAATATTGTTTTTAATCTCGAAATAATTTTATTTTCTATGCCTCTTAAATCAACGTGAATAAATACACAGTTAAAATTAAAATATACTAAAGTTCTGTATAGCAGTAGCGTATTATAAATAAAATCAGTACAACATAATTATTTTCCGTACCAGAGAGGTCTATATTAGTTTATACTGCATCATTTTAATATGCAGCACGTATTTTGCAGTATTGCTTAAATTGATTTAACCTAATGTACGAAACAGATCCAAGTGCAATGATAAATCTCTACTTTGAAACGCAAACATATATATTGGATAAACTAAGCGAGTGGTGCTAATGGATATAAGATAACTAAAAGCTTGTACACGTCACTACGAGCGCCAGTATGTTCAAGGTCCACGTATAATAATAAAAAAATATATTACATTTCTTCTTTATACGTATTGTCGTATTTGTCTGTCCGTCTGTTCTGTTTAGGGATAGACGAACAGACAGATTTGCCTTAGCAACAATATATTATACTATATTACTAAAAGTTGTAGGAACGTGTTTCAAGTAAGTCGTTAGGCAATTTTGTACATTTTTGAAAAAATATGGAATCCACATAAGCGTGTGTATTCTTGCAAAGGTATTTTATTAAAATTTAGATTCATATTTGTAAGTGAATATATTATTCAAGTCAATAGTTAGCGAGTTTTTTTTACTTCTAAAGTCGTATACATTGTGTAACACCCCATCCACCTCTAACTTTTAAATTTTGGGATGGAAAATTATGAAAGAAATCGAGATGAATGAATGAGACAAAAAATATTTTATTAATTAGTTTTATATACGTTGAGTAGTTTTTGAAATGTTGGATACTTTTGATACTACGCGTTTGGCCGAAAAATTAATTTTGTTTCTTAACTACACAGTTTTAAGAACATTTTGGCTAAGATTTTATGGTGACCTTGAAACGACGGGCAACATAAACTTAGACCTTGTAACTACCTAGTAGGTTAACGAGACGGACCGTACTATAAACTATTGCACTGTGGGGTTAATATCATAGAATTTGAATCTCTATACTATCTTTTCACTTTTTCTCTAACCAGAATCTGTTATATTTTTCAATACGTGTTAAAACATTGCTCTATGAAAAGATACATTTTACTGATTGGTAAAATTTCAATATTAATACTGATTAAAAAAAATGTAAAAATGTATTTTCATATTTATGAAAATCATAAAAAAAGCAGTGCTAGCCCAATGGTAACGCATTTGCTTGTAATGCCTAGTGAAGCAAGTTCAAATCCCAGGCCTCGCACATCTGATATTTTTATGTGCGAATTATTTTCTAACAAGATTACCACTTATCTTACAGTAAAGGAAAATATCATAAAGTGAGGGAACTTAGCAAGTTTTCGAAAGACATGTGAAGTCCGCCAAACCGCACTTGGCCAGCGTGGTGGACTATGGCCTGGTCCCATTCGTATTGAAGAGAGGCCCGGGCCCAGCAGTGAGACACTGAAAACGGCTGAATACTATAAAATAAAATTTATGATATAAAGTATTACGTTTAGTTATATTATATCTTCTTAGATTTTGCTTGTAGCTCCGTTTATGTGATCCATTACTAAAACAAGGTAGGTATTATAATAAAAGCACTTTAATATTAGATACCTATTAGGTATTTAATCGAATTCTTCTATATACCTTTTCAAGTTACAAAATTGTTTCATTACAAACAAATTATTTTCTCATACTCGTATTCTCTCATATACAACGTTATTTGTTAACATACTTTTTAATATCTTTTTTATTAAGTAATTAAAATTTTCTTCAACTGTGGTCATATGTAAAATAATAATCGTCTTAGTGTTTACGTCTTATTGTAATATATATAAATGAAATATTTTTATAAAGTTTATTGTATTAGAAGTCAAGCGAATTACCGCTTAACTCCAGACCACTACAAATATTTGTACCAACTACAATGTAAATAACAACCTCTACTTTACTTAAGTCTGTTCAAAAATAAAGAAATGGCGTCTCCAAATATGATGGTATAATTGTTATTATTATTACTTATGATGTTAATAATTTATGACTTCTTATGTATTGTAATATTATAAAGAGGAGAAATTTGTTTTTTGTTTGTTTGTTTGTATCGAATAGGCTCCGAATCTGCTAAGCCGATTTAGATGAAATTTGGTAAGAAGATAGTTTGATACCCTGGGACGGAAATAGAATAGTTTTTATCCCAGAAATCATAAAGGGGGAAATCAATAATCTAAAGGGGATGAAAATGGGGGGGGGAAGTTTGTATGGGGAAGTAACCTAGGGACGGACCCGAGCCAAGCGAGGGTGAGTCGCTAGTCTCTTATACAAGCAATGAAATTTCATTTCAAAGCAAGAGTTTCATTGGATTTTAACAAGTTTTAAAAGTATACGCCAAGTAAGTTAATCCAAGATGGCGATGGCTCCTTTAAAAGTAACATTACTTATCATCACTAAATTTATAACGGTATTCTAAGGCTGTTTGAGATTTTTATTTAGATCGAATCTTTGTCAGGAGATTACGCCGTGCACCTTTTGCCTGAATAATTGATTTTCTCATTATGGAAGGAACAATTCGACCCAAAGAGAATACTTTAAACGGCCATCAGCTTAGCCAAATTAAGATGAAATAGTGGATTTGTGGTGAAATTATAAATTCTTATTTGGAATTTCAAAAGCACATTACTTAAGTTACAAACCTCATGATCCATCATTGTCAAATATTTTGTTTGTGAATGATTGATTTTTACATGTAAAAGTCTCTGTATGTCGTAATAATGTTATCAAAATAATTAAATTATAAGTTATATTACATACTTATATAATTACACAACAAAATGATTAAAATCGAAATTAATATCTTTTAACAATTTTCATTACAGTAGGCACTTCTTTAAATAAGATACTTCTGTTTGATTATATTTTCATAAATGCAATCATAATCAAAGACTAACTTAAAGATGACTATATGTAATCATATACACTTATAAATATGTATAGTGCTCGTATTTGTGTCTGTTTCTGATATACAAGAGTTGCCTTGTAAAGCTTTGGTGTCAGGAGAAGTGTGTGCTGAACGTGGCTAGGTGTCTATTTAACATCGTTTGATGTTTGTTCCCATCTTCCCTTGTTGCCTTAGAACACGTTATCTGTGAGCAATTGAAAGGTTTTTTACATAAACTGCATAACTATAAGTTTTTACCATCATTTGTTTTTAGCAACACTAGATTCCTTTGAAAAAATAGAAAAACACAGTTTAATCCATTTTTCATAAAAACAACTAATTCTACAGGAAACATCTTTTTAAAAAATGATTATTTTTACAAAAACTAGTTGTAGTTCTTTCTGTTTTTTTTAATTCGAATTGTAATCTTTTTCAATTTTTGTGTATTATTTTAATTGTGTTAGTGTATTTTGTTAATTCACCTTAAAAGGTTGTGCAATTAGCTATAAGAACTTAAAAAAATTGCACTTGTATATAATAAATTGTATTATTGTAACTAACCACTCGTGAATCTAATAAATAAATAAATAAATAAAAAACTACATAACTTTGTTAAATTTTCACAAAAACTATATGAACCCTGTTTGGGAGTTTTGTAAAAAAAGTTAACACTGTTTTTATTATATTTATAACTTATAACTTTTTACATTTTTTCCCAAGGCTTCATTCGCGAAAAAAATAAATCTATAATTATTTTTTTCTTTCAAAGTACTACAAATCAAAATTACAAGTCTCAATGGTAAAAATATTACAATTCACCTTTTACATATATCACAATAATTCAATACCGGGCTAAAATGTAACTCATATGTTAGTCCAAGAAATATGGTATTTCTGTGTTTTCTATACATATAATAAAATTGTAACTAAGCCGAATCTGTACATTGAATATTTTTTGGAAAATCTTATTGAAATAGACATTATTATCGATACAGAGGCCGAATCTATAGTTTTTAGAATTTTTGTCTGTCTGTCTGTCTGTTACCACATCACGGAAAAACCACTGGAGGGATATTGATGAAACTTCGTATGATGGTAGCTGGTTATTCGGGTCAACATATAGGATACTTTTTACCTCGGAAAAATATCTCATTTCTGAGAAAAAAAAACAAAAACTGCAACGTAAGAGTATACTAATATGTAAAATCTAAGAATTTTGTTTTTGGTCATCTGAACGCGGGCGGAGCCGCGGGTAATGCTAGTCATATATATATTCGTTTTCGCGTCATTGAGTAGCAAAAATCCTCGTCTACTCAAATATTAATGAGATCTCATACATTACCGTAAAGTTGAGTGTTGACTGACACTAAAATCTGTATCAAATTTTAATAATAAAATAATATTTTCTTTGTTTCAGATACCCGTGTTTGTAGTTCACAATAAAAATATTCTATTTTCTATCTCCTAATAGTGAAGTGTATTGAAATTTTAGGATCGGACTTTACAATATTCTAATAAAGGTGAGTTCAGTGTTGCCAAAAAAATGTCTAATAATTATGTTTTGGATGTTCTAAAAAGATAGAAATATATTTTAAAATGATTTTAAATACGTTAAAAGTTATACTTTCTTAGATTTACGCGAATATTTGACATTTAAAATAAAACTATCTTTTAGGATTCGTTGATTTTTATTTTGATTTTTGGTTCCCGACGTTTCGAATGCTTTACAGCAATGATGGTCACGGGAGAGACTGAGATGTTAGATGTCTCAAAGCTATTATATAGCTGTTACACACAGCCTACCCATAAATAACAAAATATATATAAATAAAAAAAAAAATTAAAAATGATACCAAATTACCTTACAATATTTTTTAAAGATTTTATACGCTTACTTTTGTTTGCTGTAAAACATTTGAAACGTGCGAATAAAAACCAAAATAAATTCGCAAAGATAGTTTTATTAAAAATGTCAAACACATGCTTAAATCTAACGAAGTATTACACTAATTGTTAACATAATTTATATGCCTTATCCCTCTTACAACAGGTAAGCCGCGTTGATTGCATACAAACTAAGGGCTCCCATTAATGCGATTACGATCGTTCATAGGATGAATAAGGCGGTGCGCTAACAAAAGTGTATTGTCAACTTTATAATCGCTACGGAACTGTGAGATAAGGCCGATATCATGTTCTGCCCTAGTTTACACTCAATGAGTAAATTGTAAGGGTTTCTTATATAAAATAAGCGAATAATTATATACGACGTCGTATGTATTATATATGTACGTCGGTCTGTTCTCGTACAGTTATGGAAAACGTATTATATTACATTTAAATAAATAAAATTTTCGAATTATATTACTATGATTTAGAAGAAATCATTAACCGTTTCCCTGTCCATGAGTCATATCTGAACATTTAGATTGTTTAACCATTGTGTCTATTTTGGGGACAATTAATCTGTTAATACTTTTTTTAACAAAAAATGTACACTGACTTCAAAATGATTTGCTGTTTGTTGACTAGAAATCAAGTAAAATTCATATTAGGTAAGAATTTTATATGAATATATGGGTTCAACCATGACGTATATTCTAAAGTATACAATGATTCACAAAATATTAGTAAAGATCACATGAGACCAGGACACACAGGAGACCAGATTAATTAGTACTTGTAACAAAAACCTCTTCTAATACTATACATATAATAGTAACTACAAACCAAACATGAACCTATGACCATAGTTAAATTTTACAAGATTTCAGAATAAAACAATTAATTGTTATGTTATGATTTACGTGATTTATAATTTAATGTATATTATAATTATAGTCTATTATTTCCACGTCATCTATACACAGCTTTATGCCGACATTAAGCAGTGTATTGTAAAGCTTTCTTGGCTAAATGAATGTGTTGTATTTCAAGCAGATGCTCGGCGAGTCGGTGAATAATGCGCAAAATGCTCGAGCAGTCCGTTGAGATCGTAAATCCTACGATGAGTAAAGATTCCGTTTAAAGGGAATACTTAGAAAAAAATCTTAAATTTTACATAAATATAACTTGCGTTTGCTATCTATATATAAATTTTACAAGAATATACGCCTTTTGCTATTTATTTATGTAACCCAAATTTTTCCTCGGCAAATTGTATAAGGAAGGCCAAATCTATTTATTGAAAATTAATTTTTCGTATAGGTAGCGTATATCAACAAATAATATATTAGTGCATAAATGATTTTTCTGTCTTCCCATTGCTGAACAAACATACAACAAAAACAAATTCATTTCATAATTTCAATCATTTATTTGTATTTATGATAAATTATTAACTAGAATTCAAAAAAATACTTCTAAGAAAATTATTCACGAACACTTAATATATATATATATATATATATATATATATAAAACCATATAAAATAATAAACTAGTAGCAAAGTACCTAACTTTGGGAACATATTAAAAAAGAACACTGAAGTATGTTACCGCTTACCGACTTTCAGATGTTGACTTACCTACTTACCTTCTTATGAAAGAACTTATGTATGCTGAAAAAGCTCAAGTAAGTTATATTAAGTACACTACAAGATTAGCATTCTTTTCTAAATAATTATTTTATGAAAAAGCTTATATCCTGCACATACATTCGCACAGATACTCTATTAAAAATAGGTTCTATTGGAACATGATTGCCGTAAAATAATATAAAATCTTATATTTATTATGTAATAAGCAATGCTGTCTTCTGAACCAATTTTAGTTGTGGCAGTAAATATTACTGGAAGCCCTTATTTACGCAGATACTTTAGAATTCATTTATACTCTCTTGCTACGGCGAGATGACAATCTGACAAGACCGGAAAGAGGTCAGGGGCAAGATCGACGGCTCTATGTTGCTTCCTCTTTAAGACACGAGGATGTCACACTATCAACTTTTCCCGTCGAGGCTTCTAAATTTTTTTGTTATACCACCCAATGATTATTATTACAGGTTTGAAACAGTAAACAAATCGAAATAGAACGGAGCAATAAATAAATAAATAAATAAATAAATAACCCTGTACATTAGAAAAGTAATCATGAAAATTGCTTTACAATTGACTAAGATGTTGCGTGACGCAAACAAAATAAACCCAATATTCAAATTGAATACTTTCTCCTTTTTTGAAGACGGTAAAAAAGAAACAGAAATTAGAAGCTTAACTTAAAAACATCTATACTAATATTATAAACTTTCAGTTTGTGAGTATGGATGTACGGTTGTTTGTTACTCTTTCACGCCAGAACGGCTGAACGGATCTGGATAAAATTTGACACAGAGATAGATTATAGTCTAGAATAACACATTGGCTACTTTTCAACCCGGAAAAATATACGGTTCCCGAGGGATAAATTTGTTTTTGTTTTCGCTAGTAAATCATATAAATGTACGACATATCGTTAGATCATTTTGTATGAGACGCAAATAAACAAATAGTAATTTTAGAACAACTTTCTAGTTAAATAATTTCAACAATAATGTAATATTGTGCTTAAAAAGCAAATGTGAACTGAGATTGCAAGTTCAAACAAGGATGGCGCCATTGATATTTGGCACCATCAACTTTTCCAATTCAAATGTCTACAATTCACCTCTAAATTGTCATTTGAATAAAATATCGCGAAGAACACGTTAATATGAAGAGAATTAAAATTACTAGAATAATCATAAAACTAACGTTCCTTTGCCCCTTAGCTATTTGTAGAACAAAACAAGTGTTTCTACGAAGTTATGAAACATTTTCGTACATGAAATCCGGAAATATCTATAGAATGCACTATAGAAACTTTAAATCTTGGAATAGTGAAGCAATTTCAGTAGTCACATTTGATTGATTGATATGAGTACAATTATACGAATATAGCTTGTATCTCTACCATTCTGCAGATCTCTTGGATGAGAACGGCTCTATTTTTGGAAAGACAAGCCGATCATACTGAGATCAAAACAAGTTTAACATTGGAATTTCGCATCGAAAATCGTATTTAGAACACTATTGCATAGATGTTATAGTGAGACTGTGTAGTTTCGATGTATGTTAAAAATAATAAAGCTTAAAAATTAATATAATTTGATCTATATTATTTTTTGTTAAATTTTAATCAATAAGTTATGACATAACTTGATTTTAGATTGTTTTCTCTAAAGTAAGAATAAATATACTTGAGAAGTATACTAGGCATTTTTTCCTTGTAATTAAATATATAAATCAAAGTTACACATGATAAAATTTAATATAAATATATTTAAGTTACATAATCTTATATGTATAAACTATATCCGGACAACCGGATGGCAGTCATGTTTATGGGAAACGAACAAGCACTTTGTACGACATCATGAATTTCCGTTATTGTCCATCTTCAAATACCCTAAGTAAATACAAACCGTATTGGTGGAAGGCTTTTGACGTAAGTGATAAATATAAGTTTAGATATGACAATTCAAAGTACATCTCATAGAAACTCGAAAACTACAAAATATATAAAATGGGTTGGGTGAACGTCAGTCGAATAGTTTTGTGTAAAGCTTTTTTAAACTTTTATTGTACATTTTAAATGGGTCAGGCTAAATTGTCGAACGATCTAAAATATCCATCACTGTTCACTGGAAGTTAAGCTAGATAGCTATCATCTATCATAGAGTGGTTTATAGAAAAAAACAGCCTATAATTATCAAACTACGAGTACGTCCGATTAGTTCTACGTTAGTAAATGTACGATTACATTCGCATATTATTTACTAGAGGCTCATCTTCGCTTCGCTCGGGTTCGCCTCTAGAAAAACACAAACAAATTTATCCCACGGGAACCGTACATTTTTCCGGGATAATAAGTTTATGTATTATTCTAGACTATAATCTATTTCTGTGCCAAATTTCATCCAGATCCGTTCAGCCGTTCTGGCGTGAAAGAGTAACTAAAATCCATACTCACAAAATTTCACATTTATAGTATTAGTATGGATTATTGCTGCAATAAAAAAGCAATTTATAAGTAGATACATAATATCTACTCATGTGTGTTATGTTCGAACCTGATATAATATGAATTCAGCTCTTTTTTAATATCCTACTGCTGGGCACAGGCCTGCTTTCAATGCGATCAGGCCCTATTCCACCGCTGGCCAAGTGCGGGTTGGCGTACTTCACATGTCTTTCGAAAATTTGCTAAGTTCTCTCAGTGTGATAATCATGTTGTATGAGAATATCAGATGTTCGCATATAAAAATGTCAAAGGTCGAGATCCCGGTTTTGAGCCCATTCTACTTGATTTTCTAAGCGAACCGTAGGCTACCAATGCTTTCTGATATAATATGCTTGCTAATAATTTAAATTGGTCTAAAACACAATAGATACTGCGAAATGTTATTAATTAATAATTAGTTTATGATTATAGTTCAAATCACTATAA